TAAGAATTAATTATGCATGAAGAGAATTTGAAAGCCACATGCAAGTGTTGAAAAAGAGAGAATGCTATACTATAACGAAATAAATAATTTGAATTTCGCAACTCAACAAGAATTAGCAATGCAAAAGCTGAAATAATAAATTTTTTAAAAGCACAGCAACATAGCCAACAACCTTGACAGGCTTAATAGCTTTGGCAAAATTAGATTGATTTCATGCAAACGAGACGAGTAATGCAAACGACGTCAACAGCAATCAACTTGCWCATTTGTTACAATTCATATAATGCCTTACAACTCCTCTTTCTGCTAGYGCTGCTACTATCTTAAGTCGTCGATACAGGCTTCGGATTGCATCACACCTTTGCTTCAATTAAGTATGTGCCATGGCTTCCCCGACAGCTGTGTCAYACGGCACGACATCACAGCTGGCGCAGTTCACAAGCTCGTTGGCGAAATATTTGCTGCAATAGCTGACGCTACTCTCGGGCACTTATTCTTCATCAGGTGAACTTAACTGTATTCAATTTAAAATCTGCCAAGCTGTCAGCCTCAATGTCATATGAGCTTAGAGAATTGCTAAATAAGGAAATTAATTGTATTAGGTATTAGATTAGATATGTATATATGTATACCTATATATAGAATTTAAGGAAGTCACCAGCATACCTCAAATAGTTTTCTCGAAAATAACTTATAAATACCACCTACAGCTTTGCTCCTACCCACAGCTTTGGAAGCATTCTGACTGCTTCCCGTACCCATGTTAACATGGTCGTCGTCGCATTTCAAGATTTTGACGCCGCTAAGCCAACCTGATCCATCAAATGACGGCATGGYTGTGCTCTATTCGGCGTCCATTCTCGAGATGTGAGCTTCAAACAGCTTCCTTTTCACTATTCAACTGACATTTGTCCCAGCGGATTACTGCGGTCTTTGAGCACGACAGTCAAATGAGTTTCGCAATCTCATTGGCCGAAGCCTTGGACGCTGTCTTTTAGTCRTCAGCGTGATTGACGTTCTCAGCTACGTCTTTGCACTTTCTGAAGATACTTTTGATTCGCTTTCCATTGAACACTTCCTCTTCCCAGCGATATGCTCCTTAATTCGATTAACAAACGCTGAATCCCAGGCATTACATTAAGTATGAGTTCCGAAGTGTGCCCGGCCGTTCTTCACCTCCTTTCGAGCCCAAGCCAGCCCTTTCACCGCTTCTTTTCTTCAGACCGTCACCTTGTATCTCGGTTTTGCCTTCAATACCTCTTTGCTTGGATTCTTCCTTGTTGTCAGAGTTAGAACCTTCGGTCACTTGCACAGGAGAGCGAATATGTTCTTCTTCCTTTTCCGCGTTTATGCTCACAGCGCTTTCTTGGTCCGAGTCTTCATGGACTGTGGCACCCGGTGTAGCAGCCTCGCCTCCCACCGAGGTTTGGACCGAGATCTCTGTTCGCTTCGTTCCTTTATTGTCCTCCATTTCGAGTTTTTATTTCGGGAGTCTCTACCCTAGCGTTTTATACCTAAGGCCAGGTACCTCATTAGCAATGGGCGTTATATTACCAATTCACCTACTTCTGACAATGCATGTGCAGCAGTCCTACATACGTCAATCCCTCGCTAGGCACCCTGTCATTATTCTGGTTGACCGGATTRCTTTCGTCAAAATGTTGGACATTCTTGACAGTACAGGTCAGTAATATATACTATATCCACCTATTGCACAGCGTCCAATCAGAACACCTACAATTGCGGCGAGATRGACTCTGCTAAGTGAAAGTAGTACGGATGACTTTTTAYGGTTCAYTTTGGGCCAGAGAGATTTCGCAGTCGCACAAGYTCTGGTTGTTGATCAGCGYCTGCCAAGCTCACAGGAAGTACATAGGTCTGGACCTAGAACGCTGGAAGTCATCATACAACGACCCGCAGATGTGTATAAGAGACAGCTGCCAAGCTCACAGGAAGTACATAGGTCTGGACCTAGAACGCTGGAAGTCATCATACAACGACCCGCTCCCAATCGAAGCAAACTCAATGGTTTTGCAGTTTTCCGCGACTTCGCTGCTTTGAAGCTATTGCTAATGAAGTAATSCACTGCTTGACTAGTTTTGAGCGCACAATCAGCGATCTCAAAGCCAGTATAGCTGCTCCATTATCRGAGTGAATGYACTCTATGAAGGAGGCTGATTTTCGATGCAACTTATATACCACTATCTTGATGACTACCTCCACTTAAAAGACGCTAGAATGACCCACCCTCTACCCTYCCTCTCAACTTCGATCCATCTGAAGGCAGCTCTATGACTTTTGAAATAAAAAAAAGTAAAACCGGATGTTTTGTATACTGTAACTTTCACGGGTGCTTATTAAAATTTCTTCCTTTATATATTGTATTTGTGATGCATACCCAGATTAAACATTTCAAAATCGTAGAAGTTTCAGCTCTTCCATATATGTGTCCACTGTAGTCGCAGTATACTCGTTTCGCAATGTCAATAGTTGTAAGTTTAAGGTATTTTATCAACGCTAAACCCTGAGTCAGTAAAAATAGCGATGACACATCACATCAACAATGTCGCCATGAAATTTTCATTAGTCCAGCAATTGCTTCTTAACCCAATTTCATAAATCGATTCTTTTGTTCGTCCGCGAATCAATAGAAATTCAATTAAAATTGCACAACAGCCAACAAACAATCGGAACTTATACGAATAGAAAACTATATGGCGGCTCATGGCGGCTCATGGCGGCTCATGGGGGCGGGAATGAAGTGGTTTAGCGGTGTGCTGCTGAATTATGGAGAACACTAAACAAGCATTGAGCGAAATATACCAAATGAGCGACAAGTGGTGAGGGCAGAGAAAGCAATTTATTGCTGCAATGAGAGTATGAAAGTGGAACGGAACAATGCCATGAAGAGCTTTTAAAAAAAAAGCTAAAAAAAAAGAAAATAATTTAAAAACAGACAGGCTTAAAGTCAGGCGCTACTGCTGGGTGACTAAAGGTGTTTGGGTGTATGTGCTTATATATTTACGACTATATATGTGGTGAGTTACAAATTGATTAAAACACATGAGAATTTGGTGGTGAAATGGATAGACKATTGAGCAGAAATGATATACTACTCGTATATACACACAACAACGACCTAAAAGATGCCAAAAGCGACGGTGCTGTAAAGGTGATAGGTGCCAAAGGAATTTACTTGCATAAGGGGCCAATGTATAGTATACATATATAAAGTAGGGTGGGTTAAAATTTTTGTTTATATTATACTTTGAACGTATTAGGGTGGGACAAAAAAAATTTCTATGTAATTTTTTACTTTGAAAAAATAGTTAGTGGGCAACTTAAAAAAATTTCTCATTTTATAATTTTTATGTTGTATGCATACATATGTATATTAATTAAGGTGGGAGCACACAAATTTTTTTTATTTATTTGCAAAATAAATTGTTAGTAGTTTGCTGTAAAAACTTTTCATTTATACTTTTAACACATGTATATAAATATATATACATTAGGGAGGGACAAAAAAACTTTTTTTTTTCTTTTTATACTTTGAAAACATAGTCAGTTGGCGACTTTAAAAAAAATTTCAATTTACACTGTAACCTCACATACATACATACATATATAAAAATTAGGGTGGGACAAATTTTCTTTTTTTTATACTTCGAAAAAATAGTTGGTAGGCAACTTTAAAAAATTTAACCAAGTAACGTCTTTTAATATTAATAAGAAGACCCACTATATTTCTATTTCCTATTATTCCTTATTACTGGAAAAAATGTATAGTCACTATCAGCTATTTAAATTATTATTATATTTGAAAGAAATTGCATTCTCTACAAAAATAGTCTAATAATTTTTTTTTGTGACCTCACTATTCAAGAGTTATTAAATAGTAGATACTRAAACTTCCAATAATAGGAAAAATAGGAAGCTAAAGAGCGGAGGACTTCCCTATTAATAATAAATGCCCATACTGGTAGGAATATTTTGCCAATTTTTCAGAGTATTAGTAAAAAAATAATAATTTTTTCTTTTGACCCACCCTACTAAATATAGTGGCCCACTTGTACAAATAAATTACCATAGTATGATAATAATTACAAAACCACCCCTTTTGGACTCAAATAAATTTTTAGAGTATACAAAAAATTGTGCCACCCTTATATAATTCAAAAAATAATAATAAAAAAAATTTTGTTTTGACCCACCCTAATTTATATAGTGTCCGCTTATGCAAAAAAATTTTCACTTACCACCTTAAGCCTCTTTAGAACTCAAATAAATTTTCTGAACATAATTTTTTTTGTTTGCATCACCCTAATATTTTTGAGAAAATAGTGGTAAAAAAAATTTTTTGCCGTTGTAGTATAAATTAAAAAATACGAGTATATATATATTTTTTTATTTCAACCCACCCTACTTTATATAATGCTCGCTTATTCACATAAATTGTCACTTACCACATTTATAGAATCGCCTTTTTGAGAGTGAAATAAATTTTCGAAGTAAAAAAAATATTTTTGTGCCACCCAAATGTTTATATGAAAATAGTTTTAAAAACAAAGTTATTTACCGTTATTGTAGAAGTTTAAAAAACAAAAATTTTTTGCTTCTGACCTACCCTACTAAATATACAAATAAATTACCACTTACCATCGCATGCATATATGTGTGTATATATGTATAACCGACCTTTAGGACCCAAAAAAAAATTTCAGAAAATAAAAAAAAAATTTGGTGACACCCTAATATTTATGCAGAAATAGTGTTAAAAAAGTTATTTGCCATTGTAGTAMAAATTTAAAAATTTAAATATTAAATAAATTTTCAGTCTAAAATAAAATTTTTTTTTGGTACCAACCTAATGTTTATGTAAAAATAGTGCTCAAAAAGTTATTTGCCATTACACATTCTTCTTTGCATTTYACCTTATAAAAATTTTAACTTTTTCGGTACATTCTTTTATGCCTGTTTTGTTTTTCTTGTATTTGCAGCCAAAGCCGCCACTAAAATCCAAGCCGTTTTTCGAGGACACAAAGTAAGAAACACCATGAAGAAGAGCGAAACTAAATCCACCCCCACCGCTAGCGCCAACGCTGCATCTGCTAACAAAATTGATCATAGCAAAACCGTTGCTGCGTCGGCGGCAGCTGCAGCCGCAGCCGCAGCGGCGGAGCCAACCAAAGCTGAATTRGAGGCTGAATTCGATCCCAATGACAAAGGTAGGTGGCGCCATGCTTTTCACAAGAAAAATTTTATATGTATGTCGAGTTGTGCTGCAAGAAGTTTAAGAATGTTTTGGTTAATATACAGAGTAATGGAGGATAACAGTAGTCGTACGATAAAAGTTTTGCGGCAAATAGGCGGTAAAGCATGTAATCAAGCTCGCATGTGGTGGGCCATGGTCAAAAGTGTCCCTTYGGTCTGTCTTTTCTTCTTTTATATTGACATAAAAATTTAGTTAGTAGGCAATTTGATCATAATAGAAAAAGTTTAATCAATGCAACAATTTGGTGGAGTTGAAGAACACAAACTATTTATCTCTCGAACTTCACGACGAAAGAAATTGTGAAAAGCTTGTAAAGATGAGGGAAATTATTGAAAATAAAATGAAGTTARACTACAAAACGATAAACAGTGGTGRTAGTAAATATATAAAATAAATACTTAGTACGGGTGTATAAATATATAATATAAATCTTCAGCGACATGAACGGAGTCGATTTAGCTATGACCGTCAGCACGTCTGTATACACACAAACCACGCCCTCAGTTTTAGAGATATCGTTCTGAAATTCTGCACACGTTCTTTTCTTTCCAAAAAGTAACTCATTTGGCAGAATCGCTGATATCAGATCACTAAAGCATATAGTTGCCATACAARCTGAATTATACAAATCAGATACTTGTATGTACAACTTTTTATTTGTTGAGATATCTTCATGAAATTTGGCACAGATTATTATCCAAGGCAAAGATAGATTTTTTCGAAAAATTGATTAGATTGTTTCACTATAGCATGTAGTTGCCATACAAACCGATCGATTCAAATTAGATTGTATGAACAATTTTTTATTTGATGAGATATCTTCATGAAGTTTTGCACAGATTCTTGTRCAAGACAAAGCTTTATTTTTTAAGACATAYTGCTTCGATCGGATCACTATRGCATATAGCTSTCATACAAACTGAACGATCCAAATCAGATACTTGTATGTAAAACTTTTTTATTTGTTGAGATATCTTYACGAAATTGAACATAGAATAAAATCCAAAGCAACACTACATTTTATGGAACATATTGTCTAGATYGGATCGCTATAGCATATAGCTACCATACAAACTGACCGATCAAAATCAMGATTAAAGTCTTTTTATATCCTTCWAGGTTATAAAAATGCATGTGTGAATGGTATTTTATATATAGCTTGTAATTTTAACCCAAAAATCAAAAATTCCTGTCACAATAACGGTTAAAATATGAAAACAYAACATTAATATTGCCTTTCAAGTTTATGGTAAGCATGTAACAGATATACAATACACTTACACACACATATACATATGTATGTATAAGGAAGTTTGCCTTCAATCAAGTTTAATTATGCTTGAAAATTGCATTACGTATTAACTGTGTTAACAATTTCGCTTGGTTGCTGCCGTCAGCGGCAATCCCCGCATGCTAGAAGCAATTTGTGGGTTGCGTATACGCCATAGCGCACCCATACGCCAGCATTAGCCTTTGTAGACGCACAACAATGGCTTAGCATATTAAGCAATAACAGTTTAGCAAAACACAAACACAACACAAACACATATTAAATACACATATGTACATAAATGTATATGWATATATTTGTGTCTATAGTAAGTTCTTGACTGCCACGCAAACCCTTCACAACCACTGTGCTTGCATTGAGCACAAAAGCGTTTCGCTGTCTGTGAAAAAATTTTYAAAACAATTTCTTGTTTGACACTTGTCAGCAGCAAAAAATTTTTAATTCGAAAATATATTGCAATTAAACAAAATATTAATTTTCGTCGAAAATAACGCGCAAGTACTACACGGGTAACGTCATTCTATGACTTCGCTTATAAAACGCGTCATTCCCACGTTGGATCGCATTTTGGTGCGACGCGCTGAGGCAGCCAACGTCACCAAAGGKGGCATTGTGCTCACGGAGAAGGGTGTGGAACGTATGGTTGAGGGTACTGTTGTGGCCGTCGGTCCCGGTTCGCGTAACCCACAAAGCGGCAATTATATACCGATGGGCGTGAAGGAGGGCGATCGTGTGCTSTTGCCGAAATACGGCGGCACACGCGTCGACATGGAGGACCAAAAAGAGTATGTGCTCTATCGTGAAGCGGATATTTTGGCTAAATTGGAGTAGTCTACATTTAGCAGGGGCGGAAGTGGAGCAAACGGGAGGAYATTTGTAAAGCAAATYGTTGWGCGGCTGTTATTAATATACTTTAATTTATGGAATAAAATAAATTTCTTTCTTCATTTGAAGTGAAAAAGAGTGTGCTTTCATTGTTCGGTGCTTACAGCGTTATCGTAGAGGTATATATTTGAACGCGGATGCACAACGGAAATCGAAAATAGAGTATGCGGCTCGTTCTAGCTCTTCCAGCCTAATACTTTAATGGAAAACTACTTACGTCGGCACTACGAGTATGTAGTCAACTTCTTCTTTCAAAGCAGACCGCATTCCTCTCTTCTTCTGTTGTTATTTGCGGTATGTGTCCTACTTAGTGGAAAGACCACAGTTAAATTCCATTTGCATTACGAGTGTTTTGATGAGGTCGGACTCAAGTAAAGTTCTTCTCCTGTGAAGTCTTCAAACCTGAGCACATTCCTCTCTTTTTGTTATCTGTTTAGAAGGAAAGACCCCAGTTTAAATCCATTCACATTACGCGTGTTTTCATGGGGGCGGACCATTAGAAAGGGCTACTAGAGCCGCCGATTACATAGGGAATACATAGAGTTGATGATTAGAATCATTCGGGGACTCATAGCATACCAGACATATGTTCGATATATCGTGGTCGATTCTGCATATKCAGCAGTTTAGCCTACTGCGGTATCAGGAAAGAAGTGGCGGTAGGATAAGAGTAGGTTCGCAATGTAAATCGAGCTCAGCGACTGCTGTGCGTGGTGCTTGAGCTCCAAGTACATAACTCAATGGAAGTAAGTCGGTGAACATCGCGCTGCGGGGCAGTCCGTGCTTACCTAAAGTTAGGTACACTCGTAGTCTCGACGGTAAGGTATTCAGTATCGTCGACGTAGTCTAGGATGGTCCCCTTGATGCTTCTTAGAGGCGGTTCCGCTCCAAGCAGACGAATGCAAAAAAGATTTCTGCGTATGCTTCGCTGCAGGAACTTGCTTAGAGACTCCTTGCTGTTTCTTAACCGAACGTATACGTTCTTTAGTGTTTGGTTTAAGACATCCAAAATTATGTTCACTTATGCTGGTATTTGTTATGAAAAGATCTAGTCATTAAAGCCGCAAACTATTAATCCATTCAACTATGTTAGATAAAGACCATATAGTTCTCAACGCGTATGGGGTAGAAAGGGTAGACTGGTATTCGATTAATATATAGCCTACAGAAGAAAAGGAAAATGTTTAACAAACTGTGTTTCATTACTCAAACGGTCTTCTCATAGCTTGATATACCTGACCACAGGATGCTCCAACTATTTTAACACATATAAAAAAGGTTTTTTTTTTTTTTTTTTTTTTTTTTTTTTTTTTTTTGAAATTTTTTTTTTTTTTTTTTTTTTTTTTTTTTTTTTTTTTGTTGAAATTTTCCAAAGTTGGCCTCGGCAAAAAGCTCTTTAATCACAACACAAATATCTGTTCGTTGTAAGAAGAGTAGAAAAGTTAGCGTCTTTATAATATATGTATATAGGTTAGGTTAGGATAGGTCAGATGGCTGAACAAAGATCGCACATAGACCTTATTGAATCATAGAGATCACTAGACCTTTTTCAATCGATCTTAGGCCAAGAAACTTTTGGGAAAGCACATATACCGATGGTGACCAAGCGCTGGCCAAGTTTCTGTGTAGGCCAGCTATCTAGAAGTACAACACAGAAGGAGAGAGGAGCACCGATCCACTCCCATTCTACTGATAGTGGTTATAGGATGTCTTTTCTTTCTAGCTTATCACCTTCACAATTTCCTGCGAATCCACTGTGGCCTGGTACCCATACCAGTCTTATCACAAAGACACTCGATGCTATTGGCAGCGAGATTAGGCATTTCTTGACCAGCCCTGAACGCACTGTTAATGAGTTCAAGTCTAGTATCGCCGTTCTGCTATCTGAGTGGATGGTTACTTCTCTGAAGGAAGCTGCACTGCCTTAATGGCTTCAACCTCGGCCTGGAAAACAGTACTATAATTAGGAAATCTGAAATTGGTGTTGGTAGAGAGTTTCTGACAGCCAACTCCTCCACCAACTTTCCCCACCAAACTTTAACCCATTCCTAAAGAAGCTCACTGTCCGTCTCCTCACAGCTTTTTCCCACCCACAACTCCCTCGCCAGTGTATGGACAGAGAAAAAGCAGCCAGAGTTCGATTTGGCGACTCCATGATCCAAGTGATCCGGTATGAAGTCGAAGTGAGTCAGGAATTCCGAGTGCTTAAGAACGTGTTCTTTTAGAAATCCAGATTCTCTGAGTCTGTTAGCAACTTTCGCTGCCAGGCACTTTCGGACGATTTCTAGGATCAGTATGTGCAAGATGGCGTTAAGTGTCATAATTGGATTGGAACTTACTGCATCACACTTGGTAATGAGTGCTTTCGAGTTTCTYTGCTAGTGTGACTTCTTCTAGACCCCCCACCACAAAAAGACTCCATACAACAATAAGGGAGTTGACTATGGTCTCATAGAGCTAATCATATGTATTCGGGATYTGGTCCCTCAGTTTTTGAGATATCAAACTGAAATTTTACATAATGTGAGTATTGTCTCTAAGACGCTACACATTTGTCATTTTTTTGCCACCAYTCTCTGACTACTGTATCATATAGCTGTCATACAAACTAACCGTTTAGAACCCAGTTCTTCTATGGAAGGCTTTTTTATTTGTGAAGCGTATTCTAGCTTAGGTGCAACCTAACTTACCGTTTTTTTTTTCTTGTTTTAAATAAATTGAGTCTTAAACTATGTTATATAATAATGTCTACGGTTCACATATACCGCACTGTATCT